TGCATTTCAGCAGCGGGCATGTGGGATCCAGGCACTTAATGAACCCCCTGAGGAACTAAAGTTACAATTAGGAACAGCTAGCATTTTGTTATTCACTAGAATAATCTATTTGGACATGATACCTAGTCCTCACAATATGTCATTTTCCTTCTTCAGCAAACTAGGGGAATATATTAATAAACAAAGGAAAAAATACAGCCACTCTTGAGTCTGTAAGTTGTGGGGGAGAGAAATGAGGAAGCACCGTAGAAAATTACATCAGCATGACAATGATGTTGTTATTCTTCTTTTCTTTCACCTCCCATACTAGAGTAGTATCCAGAACCAGAACGGAAATAGAATGAAATATTGTAATTTCAGATTCTTCAAGACTGATCAGTTGGCTTCTTGTAACATGCTTAATTCTAAACTTAGGTTACCAAGACATGGTTTTTGTTTGCACATAACATGTCCCCAAATAAACCAGACATGGGTTCCCAAACATGTAGCTAAATTCTTATAACACATACTGCACCTTTCATCTCATGTACTGTTGTCTGAACTCAAGTCAGTTTTTCTCCCTATTCTTACTCCTTTTTGTGCTATAAGAAAATTGTGCTTTGAATAATTCAGACAAGTACTCTCCCCACTGCCAACTACTCCCACAAGGAAAGGAAACTGTCAGAACAGAGAAACTGAAAATGGCGTAAGGCTGTGAATTAGCTCATCAGCTTCTTTTTAAATTGGAAAAAAACTTTATTATAAGCATATAATCACTTTACATTCTTCAAGCTGATGTTAAAAATTAGAAAAGATACAAGATAATGAAATACTAAAAGCAAAGTAAAAAAATAAAAACATAACATGTAGCTTTCATGTTACATCAGACTTCTTCCTTCTTTCCCATTGTCTTCTATCTCTTACAGCTATTTAAACATTTACAGTAAACTCTTTTCCTTGACCACTGGAAATTATAGCTTGTATCTATTTGGATGGTTTGCTCTACTGTTTAATTAGCTGATTGTTATCACAAACAAGAATAAACCATAATATGTCATTTGCAGCTGGTTGTTAGGATTTCTGAACACAGAGTAATAAACAGCATTCAGCAAAATGATAACTTTTTTGAAGGAAAGAAACTGCTTCCTACGAAGTCAAAAACTAAATATTTAGAATACCAAGCATCAGTGCATTTACAAGGGTACAAACCATCACCCTTGTGAAGCACTGTTTGGCCTGTTTCTCATTTTCCCAACACAGAACTGCACCAAGGGAATGCAGGCAATTAAAAATAGATGGTAGAGCCAAAGCAAAGCAAGGACCACAGTACAGAAGTAAATAAATACAATTGCTCTATAATATCATTTTCAAGTTCAGAGTCTCAAACTCAGCATGGTTGTGGTGGGTGAGGACTATATCCATGTGGGCATCCCCAAGTGGGGTAGAATTAGAATTCTTTTTATTGGCCAAGTGTGATTGGACACACAAGGAATTTGTCTTGGTGCAAATGCTCTCTGTATACATTAAAAAAAACATACATTCGTCAAGAATCATAAGGTACAACACTTAATAATAGTCATAGGGTACAATAAGTAGGAATTGCCAACTTTCATTATAAAAAGACATCAATCTCTGTCCCAGATTAAGATAACGTATGCTACTATTATTCCACCGTTTATTTTGTGAGAAACTAGCCTGGCCTGCCTCTCCTTTTTTCTCCCCAGTTCAGCTGCTAGCTTAATGTCCAGTAGTGTACCAAAGTGGGGGAAGAAAGGGCATCCACCTTGGGTGCAAGCAACAAAGAGGTGAGGCTGAAGATCAGAAGGCAGCTAGCAGCAGGTGCTCAGTAGTCAGCTGGTTGATGTGGCACAGCAGTGATGGGAGGAGAAAATGTGCCTTCAAGTCAGTATTGTCTCCCAGCAACTACCCCCTGCAGCGTTTTTCAGAAGTGCCATGCTAGTTCCTTCTTCCTCAGTATGAAAGCAAACAACTGGCCAAGATCAACCAACTCACTTCATGCGTAAAGTGAAATTAGAACTCACAGCCTCTTGATTTCTAGCCTGATGCCTTAATTTCTACACCAAACTGTATCTTAGCAGCAAAACAAGTATGTTAGCTATAGGTTTAGCGTAGTACGCCTATATGTTCTACTGATTTTTTAAGGGAAATGTAGTACAAGTAGTCCTCAATTTACAACCATTTGTTTAGTGATCGTTGGAAATTATAAGAGCACTGAAAAAAATGACTTATGACCCTTTTTCACATTTATGAGTATTGTAGCATCCTCGTGGTCCTGTGCTCAAAATTCAGACACTTGGCAACTGGCATGCATTTGTGATAGTTGCAGTGTCCTGGGGTCATGTAATCACTTTTTGCAACCTTCTGCCAAAGGAAAGCCAGGCTCACTTAGCAACCATGTTACTAACCTAACAACTGCAGTGAATCACTTAACAACAGTAGCAACAAGGTTGAAAAATGGGGCAAAACTAACCTAACTCTTACTTAGCAAGAGAAATTTTGGTCTCCATTGTCATAACTTGAGGATTACCTAGATATGGAGTTGTTGAAATTGATTGCTAATTATTATGACGAGACAGGTTTGTGTCTATGAGAATTATTCAAGAAATCTGACATTTTTCTTTCCTCTTGAATATAAGGTCACCCTTCTGCACTAGTTCAGGTATTAGTACTAAACTAAGGCAGATTGCTAGTTCAGGAAGTATGCCAGAAATTCAAGTTTTCTCTGGAGAAAATGTTCTGAAGATATCTACATTTTAGCAGAGCTATTTGGAAAGTACAGCCCAGCAAAGAGATACCAAGTTATAAGCCACTAGATAGGTAAAATAACTAAGCAGTACCTATTTTTTAATTTTTGTTATCCAGTCTTCTTCACCAAAGTGGCCTTAGTTATATTATAAAGATAAAACAATAATTATGTATAAATCAAACAAAAGCAGCTACTATATAGGAAGAAAAAAGTACATAATCAATTAAAACTATAAAACCAATATAAATGCTAATTTGAATAAGCATATCTCTATATAATAGAAGAAGGACAAGAGAAAGAACTGATTAAAAAATAAAGGAATAATTTACTCAGTAGTAAAATTGTTTGTTTTTCATCCAGAAGTCCTCTGGGTTAACATCTGGCTTTAATCTTAACCCCTTCAAGACTAAGACAGACTCTATTCTGAACCCCAGAGACTCTTTGCTGTAAATCATCATGAACCAGAGCTAAGAAATTCTTAGCAACCTGAGTGACAGTTAATATTTAATGCAGGGTGGTTGTGGACCATAAAGGGCAGAGATATACCAGGCTTGAGATTTTGGGCTTGGACAACCTTGAACTACACCGCCTACGGTTGGACTTAAGCGTAGTACATAAAATTATCTGCTACAATGTCCTACCAGTCAACGACTACTTCAGCTTCAACCACAACAATACAAGAGCACACAACAGATACAAACTCAATGTAAACCACTCCAAATTTGATTGCAGAAAGTACGACTTCAGCAACAGAGTGGTCAATGCCTGGAATGCACTACCTGACTCTGTTGTTACATCCTCTAATTCCCACTCCTTTAACCTCAAGCTAACCACTATTGACCTCACCCCATTCCTAAGAGGTTTGTAAGGGGCATGCATAAGTGTACAATTGTGCCTACCATCCCTGTCCTTTTGTCCTCATTTATTCATACCTATTTCCTGTATTCTTACTCATGTTTATACTTATACCTATTATCTTGGAATCGATTGACAAATCAAATAAATAAATAAAGTTAAAATAAATAGGATAAAAAGTAGATAGGGCTGAATCTCAGATGTGAGCAAAACAAATATTGGAGAATTTTTCATATAAATTGGGGACAGTTTAGGGCAGTGGTCCCCAATCTTTCCAACTTGATGGCTGGATGCTTCGTGGGAGGAGGGAGAGAGGGGATGGTTCTGTGTGAATGGTAGGCACACACACAAGCATACATCTCCATTTATGCAAGCAGAGCTTTGCGCATGAGCCCGCCATTTGCATGAGAGTTGCACACGCATACACGCTCACCCTCCCCTGCTTACATGAGCTGCTTCCAAATGAGCTGTGGGGACCCACAGCCAATAGTGGGGACCCCTGGTTTAGGGGATGTTTGTCTCTTAACTATGTTATATCTACCTTTAAGATTTATGTTACTTTGTGTTTTTCATGTTCATTAATTTAAAAAACCATTTTACCCACTTTAAAGAAGAGAAACAATGGTGGAAAGAAAGGGCCTTTGGTCAGTAAAAAGAACCTTGAGAGTTTTACTGCATAAGTATTTATTACTGTGTCAGACGAATAGTCTAATCTGGTATAATGCATTGTTCTATGTTATTGTTATAGAACATGGGAAATCTTTCCGGAGAAAATATGTGAAGCGTTCAATCTCATGAAAAAAACTTATTGCCAGAAAATATTTAACATTTTTAAATATTTCTTAAGGTCCTGCTATATTACTGTCATGAAATATGATTTTAGACAACAGACACAGAGACAAGAGTATTCTCAAGTGTATTTCAGAGGCACTTGAATAAACAGCCCTTAGCAATCAATTACTGTACGTTCATTGCCCACTATAAACAATACAGCTAGTCCTCGACTTATGACCATAATTGGGCCCAAAGTTTCATTGCTAAGTTAGGCAGTTGTCCAATTTTGCCCCACTTTATGACCTTTTTTGCCACCGTTAAGCGAATCACTGCAGTTGTTAAATGGATCGTGTGATTCTTTAGTGAATCTGGCTTCTCACATTGATTTTGCTTGTCAGAAGCTGGCTGAGAAGATGACCAATGATGATCACATGACCCCAGAATAGTGCAATGGTCATAAATGATCACATAAACCTTTGAGGACGCTGCAATGGCAGTGAAAAGAATTGTAATTCGCCTTTTTCAGTGCTTCAGATGGTCACCAAACGAATGGTTCTAAGTCAAGGAATACCTGTATATACATTTATATACCTGGGTTCCAGAACATACAAATCTATAGACTTACCTTCCTCAGCCATATCTTTATCCAGTACCAGTTTCCCATGCCGGAGGAAATTCAGAATAGGTCCAAAATAAGTTGGATCTCGATCTATGAGATATGCACCAGTCTCGTCCTAAACCAAAAGCAAACCATCAAACAAAGGCATGTTTCACTAACTTTTTTTTCAAATATTTTTATTGTACTTTTCCTTTGTTATACATCACATATTAATACTTTCTATTATACAATTTTCTTGGTTATATATAGGATTTCATTATTCACAGTAACAGTATATTGTCCGGGTGCAATCTCTACATTCTTAATTACATACCGATAATAAATCTTATACGTATAATAGTTATAGCTATTATTCTCAATATCTATTCATCTTCACTTATCCTTGTTATGAATTTTACATTGCATGTTTAGGCCCACTATTCATTTTTCTCTGTAGTCCATTAATACTGTCAAACAACTATAAACATCAAATTGACATTACAATTATAGCCAATTCACTAGCCAAGTAATCCTAATGTTTGCTTATCTTAGTTATTCTCTATTCATTAGGCATCTATGTTTACATATCTAGATTTCTAACTTCTGCCATTATTTCTACTATAGAATAATTCCTGAATCAAAAAGGTGATCTTCTTCTCCCCATTTCTAATTTCTATCTTAGTACTAATTCTTGACAGTATAGCTTCTGTGTTAAACAATATTTTGCATTTATCCCTGTTTCACTAATTTTTCTGAGTTCTTTATTTACTTGGATCTTCAAAAGGTTTGGAATACAATCCCTCACCCAAACCACTGAATAAATGTAGTTTTCAGGGATAACAAATGAAACATTATGATGGATCATTAACTGCTTAAAAGCAGAACAGAGAGAAATAATTAATGGTCAGCTTCAATAATAAAGGAGTATACACCAGTTGGGATATGTGCTTCTTATGTAAGCCTTGAACTTAAACCAGTGAGAATCATTTAAGAAATCAGCAGTCCGGTAACCAATTTAGCTGAGCCTTCATTACTCAAGTGTGGTAAAAGAACATGAGTTCAAGGATTCTTCTCCAAAAGGTTGAATAACCTAAGTTTATATTCAAAATAATACAACAAAGGGCAAAACTTTTTGAAATGTTTTATACACACACACACACACACACACACACACACACACAGAGAGAGAGAGAGAGAGAGAGAGAGAGAGAGAGAGAAGACAGATTCATACATACCATATTGATGGGAATAAAATGGCAACGACTGATCAGAAATTGATCTTGATAAAACTACAAAGTGTGAAGGTATTTATTATTTATACCTTGCCTTTATCCTTTTTTATAAATAGCTCAAGGCGATGAACACCTACAATTCTCCTTCTTGCTCCTATTTTTTCCACAACAGCCACCTTTAACAGATTAACAGAGTTGGAAGGGATCTTGTAGGTCATCTAGCCCAACCCCCTACCCAAGCAAGAGTCCTTACACGATTTCTGACAAATGGCAGTCCAGTCTCTTCTTGAAAGCTTCCAGTGATGAAGCTCCCACATCTTCTGAAGGCAAGAGAGAGGGACTGGCCCAAATTGTATTGCCAACATTAAACGTGTTACACAGATATACTGTTCACCTATGACTATTATATCTCAAAAAGTGTTGTATCTCAAAACTGCTTTTTAAAAAAAATCAATCAGGAACAACTCTCCAAAGAGAAAACATCTTGCAGAAGTTTGTTTGTTTGTTTTTGACTAGGGGAATAAAGGGCAAAAAAGAAAGTCTGGATAAAACTACGCACACTCAGCAAAAGATGTTTTTGTCTCTGTCATGTTTATGGGGACCCTAAGTCATTAAACGTAGCTGAATAGCAGGAGATTCAGGGAAAATAATTATAAAGATATTTAAGCTGTTAAGTATTTAAACATTTCTTAGATAAATGATGAATGCACTACATCAATATACTGAGTTCATTCAAGACTTGTGCTATGGCATAAACTATTATTTACGTAACACAATGGCTAAGTTTGCGAAAACAAAGTCAAAACCAATGGCATGTATCTGCAGGATCAGAGGGGGGAGAAAAGCAAAGCTGCCAAGAAAAATAGGAGAGGGATTTGGCAAGGCCCCCATTCTTTGTGTGTTTGTGCTTGCTTCCGCAGGCACAACTGTATACTTCCTCCAAATAATATTGGCCAATTTGAAACAATGCCGTCACGAAGACTATACAATATTCATAAAACAGATTAAGATGTGCCCTGAATTAATCAAATTGGCTGGGTTCACCCAACAAGCTACATTTTATATAAATTCTATTCAGTTTGGAATGGAAGTGTAAATCAGGGTGACTAAAATGTATCTCATAACACCCTGCACCTAAATGAATTATCCTTATATTATGGCTTTAGTTGATAATCTGGCTCACAAGATGTATTTATCACAATGGCTGGATTTCTTCATTGTGCTAAAGCACTTCTTTCACCTAGCCTAGTTGTGTGTAAATCCAGCCATCCAACTATACAAACGACATGTTTTAGCCTAACATGTCCAAAGTCAGTAACTTTTTGATCCTATCATAACAACTCTTTCCAGGCCGTATTGTTTATGCCTATCCTTGGAGAAGAAACAATGAAGCCAACCGCCCTTGCCCTGACTGAGCCGCATGCTTTAACTCCATTTAAAAACAACAACAACCCAAAAAAACATCCTGCAGATGAAGTTTTTGAACGGCTGCCCAAGACTACATTAAGCCTTAGCAAAAGCTGCATCGAGCGTCAAGATAAACTCTTGGAATCACTGGCAAAGGACCCACAAAGGGTGTTACGGTGAGGAAGAGGAAGGAAACGACTCCTACATTCCCGGCTAATTTTGTGTCCTGGGCAAGATTTCTTGGAAGCGAACCAGCCCCCTGGGGTGGACAAGTGGAGTTTTCGCAATTCTTTCTCGGTGCTTTTAACGGAAATCGGCGCGCTTTCGGAGATAAGAGGCGACCAAGCACATTTATCTCCATTTAATCAGCACCCTCGCGTGCACAGAGCAGAAGCTTGGGGTTTCTCCACGTCCGCATTTTTCCACTAGCAGAGCGAGTGGCCTGCAGGCATTTCAAAAACAAGTCGCATCGCTTACACTGTCGCTGCTCAGGCAGGCAGAGACGCCCGGCCAGAAAACGGGATGCTTCTATAAGGACTTGCCTCGCTTTTTAAACTCTGTGCAGGTAGCCCAAGCGTACCGGGAAAGAAACCCCCGTTCCTACGTAAAGCTCCCAAAGCCCTGAGGAATGGGCGGGGGCGGAGCGGGGTGGGAAGAAAGAGACTCGAGGCTCCTGACCAACTTTGTGTTGAACATGCGAGTGTGACTTTGCAAAACAACAACAAAAACATGACTTCTGCTTATGGGGCCAGACCACAAAAGTGGGTGAAGCGAGGGGGGGGAGGCTCGATCCCTTAGCAAGATTACTCCCAAGTGGGGTTCAAGATCTTCCGAAACAAAGCCCCCTCCCCGCCCCTTTTCATTGCTGGCCACAGCAGGAGCTTCGGCGCTTTCCACGCCCTGCGATTTAAGCGAAGGGGAAACGCTCGCGTGTTAGCAAAACCACCGCGCTTCCCTTGGAGGATCGGCGGAGCGCGGGCGCTTACCCGATCCGACTGCAGCTCCTCTCCCTGGCATAGGCGGCAGAGGAAGGATTTCTGCTCGCGGCACAAGGTCTGCTTGGTGGTTAAGAAAACGGTGCCCCCGACATTCAGCCGAACCCATTTGCCTCGGCTGCTGGGGGGAAGCGGCTGCTGCGAGCAATCCCACGCGTACGAAGTCGCCTTCTGCGCTGCCGGCGCGTCCTCCCCTCGTTCCATTCTCATCTCTTTTCTCTGGGCGCGTCCCCTCCTACTTTCACAAAGAGGCGGGACGCGGCTTGCAGGTGTGGAGCCCCGGAGGATTCTGGGGCTTGTAGTTTGTTTCGAGGCTAACGCGCATTTCAGACTTAAGCAGGCACCCAAAATTCACGGAGGCGGGTTATTTTGCCCAGTGTTGTGATACTTGAGCGAGAGCGTTCTTTGCCGAACGTCCTTTGGATGACAGCTCAACGAGCTTTTTAAGCAGAAAGTGCAAAAACAATTTTAAAGCTGTGTTTAACGTGCCTTGGCAACTTTTAAGATGAGTGGATTTCAACCTCCCAGATTTTCCCAGTCAGCATGTTTGAATAAAAGTCCACTCATCTTAAAGTCTGTAGAGATTCTCAGTCATCCAGGTCATGGTTTTCCCAAAAGTGTTTTTTCAGGAGGCAACTGGACTTCCTTGTTTTTTTCTTTGAAAGTGTTTTGCTTCTCATCCAAGAAGTTTCTTTGGCTCTGACAGGATAGTGAGGAATGGAAGGATTTTCCATTTTAAAGTTGCCAAGGTTGAAAAATGCTGTTCAAATACATTTTAATGGCTGAGAACTTCTAAGATTTGACATTTTTACTGAAGCCTCCTACAAGGTGAATGAATTTTTACTAGATCTGGGAACTGGATGATATTCCAAAATTTTAAATTAACCATGAGGCTCCTTGAGTGCCACTTAGGGAATTGGTGAATTGATAAAGTTGTCTCCTGGACAAACTTATCCAGAGCTAAATCTTATTTAGAGCATCATTACATCTCCATTCTGTTTTGCGAAGAAGGCTGTAAGATTCAGAATCTCTTTTCTTTCCAGAGATATCTGTATTGGGTCATTTCTAAAACAAGAATGTCATAATTTCCTAAGCCCCGTTCAGTAAACTAGAAATTAGTAAACTCTGCAGTTCAGGGATGCCCTACATATGTAATTTCTTTCCCTCAAAACCATAATTCTCTAGATTTGTACTGTAATCCACTGCGTTCATTTATCCTTTGAAAAGCATGGAGCTTAACTAAGAATATGTCAGCTTTTCAAATGCAGACCAGACAACCAAAACCAGTTACTCCTATTGTAAAGTTAAAGTAATAGAATCTTGCAAGTCTGAAAGTCCCCCTCCTCTGCCTTTAATTCCAGAGACTTGGAGGGGGGTGATCAATTCTGATATGCTTTCTCCAGTGCTAGCTTTGGACTCATATTTCTCTTTTAGATTGTCTAGACCAGGGCTGTCAAACTCGCAGCCGGAGGCGTCACGTGGTGGCCACACTCACACCTGATTTAGCAAAGGGGGGGGAAGTCATGCTATATCACATGATGATGCCGTGACAATGAGAGTTTGACACCCCTGGTCTAGACTGAAATCTTTCTCCAATGCACTAAGATAATTCTCAGAGCCCAGTAAACTATATATCATAACTTCCATTTTCCCCTCATAGCAAATGCCACATCACACAACTTATCTTTCTAACTTACCTACATTTGGTTTACTACCAGGCGACCTATGTGAATAAAAGCTGGAGTTAGTAGTTAGTATTGAGAGATCAGTACTTCTGTGGTCAGGTTATTGTGTAGCATGGTTTAGAATTTGGTAGGAATGCCTGTAATAAAACTTAATGGAACTGAAAGTGGAACAGAATTGATGTTTTGGGGTAGAATTTTCTGGAGCCAGTAAAATTATATTTTAGCTTCAGTGAGGTTGGATTTCAGATAGTGACATGATGCTTTTGTTAGAGAGTGGAGATTTGGAAGAAAGAGAAAGTTAATAATTTGATTTGTGGTGGGGTATGTCAGGATATGTCATCGTATTCCTTCAGATATTGGTTTCTGATGGTGTAAAGCTTTTATGGGATGAGATGAGAGAGAAAAATGACCAACAACAGATAATATTAAAGATGACAAGGAGTCTGGCGACTAAATCCTATGAAGAATGGCTAAAGGAACTAGGTAGCTGAACAAACATTTTCTATTTGGTATAGTCTAGAACTAGCTGAATTCAAACTGCAGTTCACCACACAAACTGTCATGGGTAGAAGTTTTCTGAATATGATCCACTTCAGGATGAGAACACAAAATAAAGCAATGAATCTTTAAGGACACTAAAATGCTTTTGATTTAAAAAATATTTGTACTATGGCATTTTCATGAAAATGAATAGAAACCAAATTACAGGATTCAGTGAAGGAACAATTAATACTAAATAGCCAGAAGTATGACACAATTTGCCATAGTTACAGTGCAAAATTAATCTTCCCATAATTAGTGCTTTCTTTGCTTTGAAAAACGGGCAGTGTCTATACGTAGCAATGGAGACAAGCAAAAGAATGGCAAATCCCCCAATTCATCATTAAAACATTTCACTCAACAGGTAGAACATCCTGAAGGCCATCCCCTTCTTGAATGTTTTTGTCTCAGCAGAAGGTTGTGCTTCAGAGGCTCTTCCCCATACTCTCTGAGATAATGTCTTCAGGCTGTGCGCGCATGAACCACTCTACCCAAGCCCCATCATAAATGGCCACATCTGGCTTCCCACACAGGTATGCTCCTAATGCCACATGGCAAGCGGTGACTCCTGATCCACAAGTAGCCACAAGAGGTTTGGAGAGGTCTACTTTCTTCTCTTGAAATAAGCTTTGGATAATTTCTGGGCTTTTCTCCAAGCCTGCCTCAGTGAGGAATTCTGTGAAAGGAAAGTTCACAGAGCCAGGGATGTGACCAGGTTCGATTCCTGGAGAAAGTTTGAAAAAAATAAAACACTATTAAAGTTCATTCAACAAAATTGCAAAATGAGAAGCACAATTTAGAAATAATGTGCGCGCACACAAATACTGTGTGTAGTAAACCTTAAAATCCTATACATAGCACTAAGTTTCTAAGTAGGCACGGTGGCTGGGAAATTCTGGGAGCTAAAGTCCATGTATCTGAAACTTGTCAGTTTTTAAAATACTGGTTTATATTAATGGCAAAGGATGAATCTCTCCCATTTCCATTTACCCCAATAAGCCAGAATATGAGGTGAGGTTAACTGATATCACCCATCTGCTGGAGAACATGAGGAATGACTGTTTCTAGTTCTCTAGTGTGCAGGGGGGGGGGGGGCTTTATTTGATCCACATTTTCCCCAATTGGGGAAGGACAGTTAATAAAGTTGTAAAAAAAATCAGGAGCCATGCTGTACTTTTCCAATGTGGGAAGACTTTTTACCATTTTTGGCAGTCCTGTCACCTTGTACTTCATCTTTCTCCTAGAAGGAGTGAAAGATGCAGCAAAGATGAACACTAAATGCAGTTAGTATGATATTAGGAATAATGACAGCCCAACCTCAGCCTGTTAATAGAGTTCTATAAACATTTTATTATACAAAGTAGTAATGTATAAAGTACAGTCATTTGATATACTGTATAAATAAATAATGCCCCGTCCTCTCCTTTATTAGGAGGAAACTATTGGTATATAGTTTCCTCTTGTTTCTTGACTTGTGGAGAAGTCAGAGGAAATGTCCTTGGAAGACAGCAGGAAGAGCCACTATCAAGTTCACAGTCAGATGAAAGGGAGCCTGAATCCAGCAAAAACTGCCTCAGACAAAGCCCCTCCCTAGTTCACGCGTAGATAAGGGGAGGAAGGGGGGGAAGCATAATCAGACTTACAAGATTCTGTTATCATAGCTTTACAGTAAAAGTAGTGTTGACCTACATGTCATTGTTTTCGTAATCTCTTCTATCTTGAAGTGCTGACAATTTACAACTTTCCTTTTTTAACATAAAGCTTTAAAATCAGAGGTTTTTATCTCAGAGCTAAACTAGCCTGACAATTCTGTCATGCTCCAAAATCAAAAGAGACACACTGAGTTACTCAATGCAATCTCTTTTATTGTTCCTTAACTACAGACAGAAATCTTGCTAAACTAAAGGAAACGGTTTGCACTAATAAAGATATACTCTTGAGAACTTCACGGGATGAATTGTCTTGAGCCTCTACCTCTTCAAACTATCCAAACTATCCAAACTTCACTGCCTCTTGCTCTTCTGGAACTCTAACCCCTTCCTCCTGGGAATCGAGACTACATTCCACCACATCTACCCTCCAAACTTAAAGAAAACCATTACCTTGTCGGGGCTCTGGTTCCGTCCCAGCATACCTTCCAGCAGATCGTGCATCTACTACCTGGAACTGGTGTGAGTCAATGTTCTCCTTCACCTGCTCATAGGTTTTCACCATTGATTTATCCAGAGAAGCATGAAATTCAGCAGAAGCAGGATGACTCTTTCCAGAGCTGACAGGATGCCCCTCTTTCATCCAGTTCTTCAGCCCACCATTTAGAAGGGAAACTGCATCATGGCCAAAAGCTCGGAACATCCACCAGACCCGGGGAGCTGAGAACAAGCCCTGGTCACTTGCATCATACACCACAACATGACAATCATTGCTCACTCCTAGTTTGCCCACGTACTCTGCAAAATCTGTTGCACTGGGAAGCATATGATCATAAGGTGATGTGCGGTCACTGCAATGATCAATGTCGAAGAAAGCGGCTCCTGGAATATGGCGATCTTCAAACTCTCTCTGGGGATTACGTTTCATTTTGGGAAGGTACCAAGAGGCATCCAAGAGCTTCACAGATGATCCTGTTTGAGGAGACTTGATAACTTCTGACACCCATTTAGCAGTCACCAATGCCCGGTAGAGAAGCTGCTGAGACATGGCACTCACAGGCTGTTTGGGTTTGGATGTCACCTGGGGTTTCCACTGGCACTTAGGTGAAAGAAGACAAAACAGAAAATTAGGACATCCTCACAAGAGGACACCCAGGCATTATAATAAGTAGGTAGTTACATCTGAACGAAACAGCAAGTTCTGCCAATTCTGTGGCTAAGTTAAGATGTAATGTTCTTGTTATAATCAATATGATATTGCTTTGTTGGTGGAAGGGAAAACATTTGCCAGGAGGATGGGAATTTACTGCCAAATCTCCATCTATGCTGAAAAAAGCCTCACCCACATTGTTGGTATCTCACAAGTGATGTAATCTGAAGCAGGCATTTGGGGAAGCCATTATAGAAAACCATAGGGGTGTGTGTGTGTGTGTGTGTGTGTGTGTAGCCTTTGCATGGTCATTCTTGCTCAGCCCGACTTCATAGAGTGATTGATACAGGGGAAAACTCAGAAGACAGAGAACAATGTACATTATCTTGAGCTCCTAGAAGAAAAGTAGAATACTGGGGTGGTGCAGTGGTTAGAATGCAGTATTGCAGGCTAATTCTGCTGACTGCCAAGAATTTGATCCTCACTGGCTCGGGGTTGACTCAGCCTTCCATCCTTCCGAGGTTGATAAAATGAGGACCCAGATTGTTGGGGGCAATATGCTGATGCTATAAACCGCTTAGAAAGGGCTGTAAAGCACTGTGAAGCAGTATAAGTCTGAGTGTTACTGCTATTGCTACAGATCTATCAAATAATAGATATGATTTATTACAGTTCAAAGAACACTATGGTTAAACAATGTTAACGAAGTATAGCAATGCAATATTTTTGCTTTTTTTCCAGGGAGAGACAATCAGGGGTGAGATGCGACCGGTTCTGCCCGTATCTATAGAAGCGGTAGCTCTGAAGAGCAGCAGACACAGAACCGGTTCTGTGTTTGCTGCTGTTTGGCCTGCCCGCCCGGGCTCTTACCTGTCCTTTATTTCCTGCTTTTTCAACCTCAGCTGCTTTGTGCAGCCCAGCTGAGATTGAAAAAGCAGGAAAAAAGAGGCTTTTCAAATGCTGTGCACCTGCACGCAGTGTTTTTCAGCTATCCAGGCGGCACAACTTAAGTTTTTTTTACACGCACGCGCATCACCGAACCGGTAGTAACACCAGTTGAATCCCACCCCTGGAGACAATGAATGCTTCTGTACTATTATGCCATAAAAATATAAAACCATTTATAAATCCAAGCATCAACAGGATTATGTAAACAAAGTTATGGGCATAAACACAGGGATAAAATTAGAATTGTTATAACAACACAGTTTTAATTAGTGAAGGTAAAATATCACTGTCATAAATTTCTTCACTAAAAAACCTAGTTATTTCTGTATATAATAAAAATGAACTCTAATAGAATAACCATTCTCTTGGGGAAAGCTCCAGAAATTTTCAGCAGTCCACCACCTCACTAAGGATGAAACAAATGATCCATACAAAGTGAAAAGGGCCCCTACAGATGCTTGACTTTCGCATTTTTTGAACTGAAACTGAAAATCTCTGAAAAGGATATTTAGATTGCTGTAGGATTTATTTTATTTAAAACCTATCCTTTTGTCACAGTAATGCTGTTCTCTTCTTTACCTCGTCCAAAACATCCATAAAGTCTATATTTAATAGCAAATAAGAAAAAATATCAAGGTTTACAAATAAGAAAGTCAGGGTTTACAAAATAAAGGTAGACTTTGAAGTAAAGTCAAATCCTGCACATTCTCCATGATGATCTAAGTCATAACTTCTATAACAGCAGCTGAGTAGGCCGCTTTCTCAGTATTGACACCACATTTGTTATTTATCTTCTTTTTAATCTATTCTTTTTTTTAAATGCACCTCAAACTTTCATTTTTATTTTATCATGATTAAATGCTGTTTGTATGATTGTGTTGCATTTAATTGCTTTTTCACACAATCCTCCTTGAACTCTAATATGGAAATATGGAGTTCATAGGTGCAATAAGGAAATAACAATAATTCTTATCCCATGAGCAGGAGAAAAAAAGATAGCTTGGCTCTTCTAACTCCCATTTTCTTTGTAAGTTCTTGTAGTTTAAAAGAAGCTTGTTTTTAATAGCTGTTGCTTGATTAATCAGTAAACAGTGGTTTCCTGTTTTGCTTGATTAATCAGTTAAACACAGATTTCCCTGAACAAGAGTCTGTTTGAAAAACAGTTTTCTTTTTATCACATCTGCAACTTTACAGAACTGGGAGTCTCTTTGTTAAAGCTAAGCAGGAAGATGCTGTGCGCTCCCATTTTGTTCAGAGCTGATTTGTTCATATAAATGGGTTTGCTGCCTCAAATTAGACAGTTTCTTCGACAGGAACAGGGAGGAGAAGTTTCCCAAAGGGAAAAAAGATCCCATCTCTCTCTTCCCCCAAGAGTTCCCCATCCACAAAAACACTAATCCCCCAATTGAAGACAGTAGAAACACTGCACCAAGCAACCAACTACTGTATAATAAACCATTTATTTCCTTCTCCAAGACAGTTTTTCTGAGCTGGCCCAATCTGGGAATCCCAACAGATGATACAGTGCAGCTTCCATCCTCCTTAGCCAACCTATATAGGGAAGAGTACTAGACCTCGTCCCTGCCAGCAAGTTTTTGAGAGTTACAACCCAACACTCAAAGGTTTCCAGAGTTGGCTCAGGAAGAGAGCAACGCATAGGTAAAGGCTGCCACCAGAGGAAAACTAGCGGGGTGAATGACCCCTGGGCACTTGGGCGACTTTTCTTCTCATGTTTTGCCTTTAAATCTTCAACAAGTCCCCACCTCTCTACTTCCTCTTCTCTTACCTCGGGTGGCTCTCTGAATCTTCAAAGCGCCCCTTGCCCAGCAGCCCCTCGCCCAGCAGCTTATTCTCCCTTCCTTATTCTACCTCCAGGGCGGAGAAAAGGACCACGTCCCACTTTCATATCCAGTGAAAGGCAAGGCTGGCCGGGGCGAACCAACTGGAACAAAAAAAGGGGGGTGAGAAAATTAGCAGAAAATCCATTAACTCTCACGTGGAGATCGGTCCCGCATCTAACTGGAATCACTCACGATCTTCTTCTTTAATCTTCGCGACATCTGTCTTGACTACTCGCCCCATGAGCCGCTCATTTTTTGCAGAGAAAATAAATATTTGATTTGCTTTCCCCCCTTTACCAGCCACTTCCTGGAATAGCAGATTGCGGCACCCAGAAGAAGAAGAAGCGGGTCATTTAGAAGCGAGGCGCTTTTCCTCGAACGCTTTCCAGTTGACGCCTTACCTGGGTTTCCGCTAGAGAACGTGGGTTGGTTACGGAAGAAAAGCCGCAGACTGTCTGGTCTTCTCCGCCAGCAACGATGTTTGAAAAGGCAAACGGTGCACTTGCCCCGGCTGCGATAAACTCTTTACTCCTTGGCTCTCTCGGTAGGAAGAAGAATCTGGAGAAGAGATGTTGCAGACAACCTTGGACGGGCGAGATCATCTTGATCCTCTCATACTTGTAATTTGCTGTAGAATTTTCATTCTGCCATGGACTTCTCTCACGACCCCGAGTGAATCGTTTAATAACACACAAACACAAGCACAACTTCCAACTCATCTTTTATCCAAGGTGTATCTTCCAACCAAATACCTTTTATCCAAAGTCAGAGGTGGTATTCAACAGGTTCTGACCAGTTCTGGAGAACCGGTAGCAATACCACCTCTGACTGGCCCTACCCCCATCTATTCTCTGCCTCCCGAGTCCCAGCTGATCGGCTGGGTCTTATTTTGTTGCCCTGCACAGCAGAAGGGAGCTGGAAACCAGGTTAGTGAGGTGGGGAGGGAATAGGATTTTGCAGTAATCTTCCCCCAGGAGTGGGGAAGGGATGGAGATTTTACAGTATCCTCCCCCTGCCATGCCCACCAAGCTACACCATGCCCATCAAACCACGCCTACAGAACTAGTAATAAAAAAAAATTAATCCCATCATTGTCCAAGGTGTATCTCTTCTCCAAAAGAGTGTTGTTACAATTCTGGACAATAGGAATTGTGATTCAACTCATACCAACTCCAGATCATTGCAGGCTGCTGTATTCCCACGACCTCACAAAGCTGCAAGCCTCTCATTTGTCTTTCAAAATAAAGACCACTATTCTGGCTACCTCCTCTTAGCATGTTCAGGATAGGGGAAATATAGCTTTTATTTCAAAACTGGCAAAGTTTAGGACTCAGCAGTATCTTGTTACTGTTGAGTCCTAAACTTTCCCAGTTCTGAAGTAAAAGGTATCTTGCTAGCTCTTCCTCTTAACATTTGGGCCCCTCTTAACAAAACACTGTTGAAAAATGTGCATATAACGCAGGTATGCTATATCTACCATTTCTATGTAATCAGATTGCTGCACTTACAAAGCTGGATGTATTAGGAAAGTAGCTGGGAGTTTGGAGTCAGTATACCAGCTGCTCTTACAGTGTTTCCTCTTCTACACTTTGCTCTTTGGGACCCCACACTCTCAACCTTATTGAGTGTCTCAGGGATGGTTTTCTCTTTCAAGTTTGCCCTTTGCCCCATTTCTGACCGAGCCAGTCTACTTTTGCACCGTCACTGACTGTGAACAGTAATGCATTTCTTGTTACAGCAGGTCCTGAAAAGCTGATTGATGTTTTCACTCTTGGGCAACAATGGGTGGGAAATTATTGCAAAAAACCCTGGAAGTTTTCTCTGAACAATCACTTCAGTTTGTCATCTAGAACTAACTAGAGGGAGGGAGGGAATTTTCAGCTGAATGTGGGTATGCCTTTGACAGTCCAAAGTGCAGACCTGAATAGAAATGAATTGGCTAGGGTTTCTTTCTCCGCCCTTTCTTAGTTGATTGGTAGGGAACAAGACATCGGAGCCTGGACAGGGTACTGCCCTTTTCTTCACATACCATTTTTCACTTTTGAGTTCACCCATCAAGAAAGCTTTCCTTAACATGGTGCAGCAAGCTTTATACAGAGCTTTGGTCTCCACCAAATGGCTGGCAGAAGCTGTCCGAGCCAAAAAGATTGGCCCTAAATTGCGAGTGTTGGATGCTTCCTGGTATGAACCTGGAACGAGAAATGCCCAGAAAGAATTCCAAGAACAGCACGTGCCTGGAGCCTCTTTTTTTGATATTGAAGAATGCAAAGACAAGTCATCGCCTTATGAGCTTATGCTGCCCAGTGAGAAACATTTTGCCGATTATGTTGGCCACTTGGGCATTGGGAATGATACACATGTAATTGTGTATGATGGAGACAACCTGGGCACCTTCTATGCACCACGTGCATGGTGGATGTTCCGAGTCTTTGGGCATCGAACTGTTTCAGTGCTGAATGGGGGATTTAAAAACTGGCTGAAGGAAGGCCATCCAGTAACAGCAGAGATCACCCGGCCAGAGCCATCTGCCTTTAAAGCCAGTCTTAACAGGTCTCTCCTGAAGACCTATGAAGAGATGGTGGAGAACATGGAATCCAAGCGGTTTCAGGTAGTGGATGCCAGATCTGAAGGGCGATTCCAAGGAACAGAACCTGAGCCAGGAAAGGAAGGTAGGAGTGTACCTGAGATAATTGGTCCACTTTCCATATTCTTTATCTGCTAATGATATTTCAGTCTTTATATCCCTCTTGCATACTTTCAGTTTACTTATTTGTGAGCAACCTCCACTAAACAAAGTGGAATACTTTCTAAATACACTTTCATAACAGTTTGAAATTACAGTGCCACGGGGAAAATCCACAGATTTCCAAAACTGGTACATGTGGATAAACTCCTATATAGGGGACCTAAGAATTGATCCATTGGGAGAACTTTTACTATTTTCCTGGCCTTTATTTTTTTCTCATGTGGTAAGAAATATACACATGCACACACACAGAAGATCCATTTATGTTTGCTTGTTTGGGATTCCATACCAGTAGGATCTGCTATCAACATTTGTGGGTGTTCCACTGCCCCAGATACACTGCCCCAGAAACTGTCTGTTGCTCTTTTTTTTTAAAAAAAATATATTTTTAGAGTAAATAGAGTCTGCTTGTCTAAAAACCAAACTTTCCAAGAATTACACAAAACATCTAGGATATTTTTCACTTTATTATATGGTCTTCCCAATTCCAGTAATGTATAAGGGAATGTTAAGCTAAAACCTTTGAGCCCTTGGACAAAGGGCAGAAGACACAGACATGGAAATTGGTGAAAGATAGGTACACATGCATGTGTCAGAGAAGAATTACAGCCTTCTAGAGCAAAACCCTGATTGATCAACTCCAAGCTAATGATTTCCCAGGTTGCCACACTCAGCAAGTCCAGGATCTATCAGCATAAAAATCTCACAGATTGATTGATTTTTCATCTGTTGGACTGTTTTTCCAATAAGTATTTTTCTGTAAGGAAATGGGAGGAGTGCAAATTGTACTATATCTTAAAAGCTTCTGTGCCTTATTATTCAGTATTATTGCTCTGTTTTTCTTATTTCAGTATTTAGAACTCATAAGGGACTCATAAGCACTTACCGTTAAGTAAAAACTAGATAGGGAAAATGGGTGGCTAGATCCCTAAATGCAGGCATTATGAGGGTCCAGACAAAGAGAGTTTGGGAAGGATACACCAAATATCAGAAGACTGTGATAGAGACACAAGATCATTTTGCAAACATTATGCAATTAGGTCAATTCCCATGATGTCAACTAGAACCACACAGCAAGTTTCTTTCAAAAGTAACCGGCCTCTAAGTCACAGTGTCAGACTCATGGAATGGTTGGGTTGAAGCAAACCTGATGTCTAATACGACAACCTTCACAATGTTCTTTCTAGTTTGAGATTTTCCCAGGGAACCTCAATCTGGCAGGACTGGTTTTTAGGGTAAGACAAGTGGCTGACGCACACAAGTGGTTGACACTGAACCTTCAAGGGTGTATTGATATAAACTGGCAGAAAGGAATTTCACCTCATTCTGTTAAAAAAGCTTGAGAGGATTATGTATTCACATGCCTGATAGGAGTGCAACAAGATATTGTTGTTAGGCAGGAATTGTCCTTGAGAGTTCTGGTGAAATAGCTAAGAATGCAATAAGATTGCATAGCATTTGTCTGAGTGAACTAGCTTGTTGTAATCATGGAAGATCCAATAGAAAGAACACAATACAGAATGAAGAAGGAACCCTACTGTTTGTAGAAACTTTTCCAAGAAGTCCCATAGCATTCAGACCATTAAAATACAGAAATTTGCCGAAGAGTATTGCCAATACTTCTCACTATAGGTAGTCCTCAAATTACAACAGTTCATTTAGTGACTGAAGTTTCAACAGCACTGAAAAAAATGACTTATGACCATTTTTCACAATTATGACTGTTGCAGCATCCCCGTGGTCATCTGATCAAATTCAGATGCTTGGCAACTGACTCATATTTATGGTGGTTGCAGTGTCCCAGGATCATGTGATTATCTTTTGCGACCTTCTACCAAGCAACAATGGGGAAGCCCGACTCACTTAACAACTATACTACTAACTTAACAGTTACAATCATTCACTTAACATCTGTGTCAAGAAACAGGGCAAAATTCATTTAACAAATATCTTAACTCAAAACAGAGAAATGAGATGGGATCTAATCACACAGTAAAAATCAAACAGAAACCCATCCAATAAAGGGCAATGAATTAAGATAGTTATTCCTTAAATTGTGGTTATTTGCTTCAGAGAGCAATGCATTAATAAGCATTAATAAAATATTTTAAAGGGAGATGCTAAAGTAAATAAATATTCTCAGTTGAATATTTTTAGCTCTGTAATCCTGAAATGATATCTAAGAAAAATAATGAGTCTTGAACCAGTTCCTATGGGGCACAGAAAGACAAATCCAAAACCTAATGAGATGAAAACGTCCATCTAGAATGGCAGGAGATCAATTGAGATGTGTTTCCACAAGAAATTTATGC